GATGGTGATAATATTATTGTTCTTATTGTTAGATGATTTATATAGTTCCGTTAAAGGTTCTCCGCTTATTTCGAACCTGTTGCTGAAAAATGAATGTCTTCAACTGCCTTTTGAAATGCCTTTTAATGATTAAAGATAGCAATACTATTACTACTAGCAATCAGCCCGAACAAATAATAATACTAACAATAACAATATTAATAATAATAATAATAACAATAATAATAATAATAATAATAATAACAATAATAATAATAATAATAATAATAATAATTAGGCGGCGAGCAATTATCGAAAAATTTAGAAGCGGGAATGGCGCCATGCGGTGTTCTTTATTTAAAGAAAGACATTTCATCGAAAGACCTCCAAGAATTAGACGCCAGGGTCAGATTACACGTCAACACACACAAGTACAAACACACACACAAAAACACACACAAATACACCCCAATACACACACAAAATCTTCGGACACACACAAATACTTGACAGATATACAAATGCCCTCACAACATCCACAGACACACACATACACACACACACACACAAATACACCCAAACACACACACATACAAACACACACTCACAAATTCACACACAGGAAGATGTATTATACAGCTATCCACACATAGTGACACCTAACAACAAATTAATATTAATCAGAGGTGCCTTGGTTACTTTAAACTCGCTCGTCTCTTTCATTTCTAAGAGACCTGTATTCATGTAAGTATGTGTGTGTGTATGTTTGTGTGTGTTTGTTTGTGTTTGTGTGTGTATGTGTTTGTGTGTGTATATGTTTGTTTGTCTATCCGTCTGTCTGTTTGTTTGTCTGTATATCTGTGTCTGTTTGCTAGTTTGTGTGTGTATCTGTTTGTTTGTCTATCTGTCTGTCTATATGTCTGTATGTCTGTTTGTGTTTGTGTGTGTGCGTGTTATTAAAAAATTATTAAAATTAATAATAAAATAATTATATGACGACATTAAAATTAATAATAAAATAATTATAGGACGACAGTCTCAGTGGAAGGTGTTCTGATGAATGTAATCCACATGTTGTTAGGTGACGATGCAGTGTTGCTTGTGGCGGTACCGAGTTCCAAGTTTGCCACTTGTTTTCTTTGTTTTATTTGTTTTATTTGTTTTATTGTTCCACATTATTTCATACTAAGATCGTTATCTTATTTCATACTGTTATTTTGTACCAGTAACAAACTACTACTGATTCTACAACTACTATATTACTAGTAAGGTTTCGATTGATGCTACCGCTGCTGCTGCTGTTGTCGTTACTGCTGCTGCTATTGCTGCTGCTAGTAGCATTCATTATGTCATAATTAATTAATTAAATTAATTAATTTATTTATTTATTGATTAAAAGGTGTTCGAGATCTCAGTTATCAACAGTCGCGAATGATATTGAAAGGCTAATAAGACTTCAGTTTGCCTCAGTTGAAAAGTGATTAATAATAATAATCTTTAGTAGTATTTACATTACGTATGTGTGTTTGTATGTGTGTGATTCTATGTGTGTGTTTGTATGTGTGTGTTTGTATGTGTGTGTTTGTATGTGTGTGTTTGTATGTGTGTGTTTGTATGTGTGTGTTTGTATGTGTGTGTTTGTATGTGTGTTTGTATGTGTGTGTTTGTATGTATATGTTTGTATGTATATGTGTGTGGGAGTGAATGTATGTGTATGTGTGCGCGTGTGTTTGTATGCGTCTATGTTTGTTTGTTTGTGTGTTTATGGGTGTGTGTGCGTGTATGTATGTGTTTGCCCGTTATATTCAACTAATTAACGGCCTATTAAATTAATATTAACCAGAGCGTTTTCGGACCCAGCCAATCACGTTCGCCTAGACGAGTTGTTTAGAGGCTGTTTATCATTCCTGATGTTTAACCCAGAGGCTTATGACACGAATGTAAACGAAAAATTAAACCAAGTCACCATGAGTGAATCCTTTTTTGATTACTCTCCTTATAAAAGAGTGGTGGTCCTTGATTTGGATGTAAAAGTTTGTATGTGTGTGTGTGTGTGTGTGTGTGTGTGTGTGTGTGTGTGTGCGTGTGTGTGTGTGTCTTTCTGAATCTCTTTCTATGTCTCTTTCTTTCTCTCTCTCTCTCTCTCTTTCTCTTTCTCTTTCTCTCTCTTATTAATGATATATTTTTTCACGGTTTTATTCATGCTTTTGTTCCAGCTTAAAGTAGATGAATGTCTATCTAGCTTCGAGGCAGCTGATTTTGGGAACATGGTGAGTTAATATTACTATTATTATTATGGTAATTATTATTATTATGGTTATTATTATTATTATTATTATTATTATTATTATTATCTATAATTTCAGTCCGAAGACTATTACTGTTCAAGAAGGATCTTTCAGAGCTTGGGCTCATCATTCTACTATAAAGTATTTCTACTACCTCTTTTTTGTTGCTGTAATTTCTTTCTCCTATTGTTATTATTATTATTATCATCATCATTATTATTATTATTATAGGGCTACTTAGTGGCGAGCCACCTGACGGCGCGGCAAAAACGCGACGTCGACTGCCTCCTCAAATACAGCCACATGCTGTCGCACAGTGAGAACCAACAATTCGATACGAAATTACTATGGATCGAACTTTATAATAATAATAATAATAATAATAATAACAATAATAATAATAATAATAATAGTAATAATAATGCAAATAATAATAATGAGTGTTATGGAGTTTACGATAGACCGTTTGAAATTGGCTATAGAACATTTTTGCTTGCGCTCTATGCGGTTTGTTTTTATTCTTATTTCTTCTTCTTCTTTTTCTTCTTCTTTTTATTATTATTATTATTATTAGTTATTTTTATGATTTTGTTTCCTTAGGAGAACTCGGTTCTCGCCACGCTGCTAGAAAGTGACCCGATTTCTAGCGATCTCATTGGTCCGTGGCCATCCGCTGACCTCTTCATGGTCAGCCAATTAAAATTCTCGCACACCCAGTTGTTATATTCCGGTGTGATAGACAGAATAGATGATGGGTGAGTGAGTGAATGAGTGAGTGAGTAAATAAATGGAGGTCTAATTGAAAGAAAGAGTGAATGAATAAATGAATGAATAAATAGACGGACTCTTGGATATTTGGATGTATAGATGGATACATAGATTAATGGATAGATGAATGAATTCGATTGATATCTTATCTGATAAATGAGTCGATGAATGAACGAACGAACGAACAAACAAACAAATAAACCAACAAACCAGTCTGAAGTTGGACGCTAGACCGGCTCTAGCAAACATTGATTGGTTCCTAAAGGCACCCAAATTGAAGACAGTAAAGCAGAGATTTCTGAAGCTATTTAAAATGGAGAAACGATTGAAGTATGAACCGTCACCTAAAGTTGAGGATGGTGATAAGGATAATAGAAATAGTGATGGCGGTAAGAGCAAGAATTACATTATGGCTAGACAGATGTCAGGTTTGTTGCTAAATTGCTTTTTAATTCTTCATTTACTTTTTTATTTGGTGAATTATTCATTCCTTCATTCATGGTATATCGATCCATTCTTTTATTCAACAGTTTATTCACTCATTCATTCACTCATTCATTCACTCATTCATTCATTCATTCTTCTACTCATCCGTCAATCACTCAATCGCACGAGTGACATCAGATATCTTTCACTTGAACAATTCAGATAGCACCTTATACATACGCAACCAACTAAGCCATGGCGATGATGATAATGATGACAATGGTGATGATGATGATGACGACGATCGTGGTGGTGCTGGTAGTGATGCTAAAAAAGGTTTGAAGTCACCGATGAGGAAGTATTCGCTGGACTTCTTTGAAAAGACCGGTTGTTACAAAGATGACGTTCGTTTGTTTGTTTTTCGTTTGCATGTTTGTATGTTCGTTCGTTTGTTCGTTTGTCTCTTTGTTCCTTCTATCCATTCGTTCATTCATCTTTCCATTTTTTTTTCTTCCTCAAACGTTCAAAATTTAAAGAGAAAAATAAGATACCTAAAGATGAATGATTTCGTGACGTCATTTGAACATCTGAACCAAAGAAATTTCATCCTTCCCGCCCTCAAGTTTATATTATTCTATGTATTTATTCATTCATTCATTCATTTCTAAATTTACTCATTCGTTCGTTCATTCATTCATTTAATTATTCCTCCAATCGTTTTCCTGTAGGTCTGTTTAGAGAGTTATAATAACAATAATAATAATATCATCATTATTATTATTATTATTTATTTATTTATTACGCCATTAATAATACAAATCACATCAAGATTAAACGCCGGCTACAACAACACAGTCTTCAATTACTGCTACGTAGATCACAGCAACGAGATCACACTAACTCCATCACAGCAGCAGCTGGCCAACTTCACTTCCGCCACAAACTATGACGTCACGATGAATTTCAACAGAGTCTGCGGCATTATTCATGATCTTTTTGGGGATAGTAATAAGGTAAATTCGTTTTTTTCAAATTGCTCATCCAAGTAGCAGCAGTAGTAGTAGTAGTAGTATTAGTAGTAGCAGCAGTAGTAGTAGCATTAGTATCGGTAGTAGCAGTAGTAGTAGTAGCAGTAGTAGTAGCGGTAGTAATTTAGTTCTTGTATTAAAAGTAGTTGTAATAGTACTGTACAAAATAATAATAATAAATAAATAAATAAACAAATAATATTTTTATTACTGCAGTTGAGGAAATCTCCATGGCCGTCATCATCATCATCATCGCCACCGGAAAGGAAATTTACCGACGAACCGGTATCCGAATATGGCATCAAGTTTCGATGTAAGAGAGTCGAGTATAAGAACGACGAATCGAGTAGTAACGGTGGCCGCGATGATGTGCACACTTACTACTGGGTCGTTGGGTCAGTAATTAGTTAGCAGTATTTTGGCTCTTTTTCTTTTGTTTTCTCTCTCTTCCACTCTCTTTCTCTCTCTCTCTCTCTCTCTCTCTCTCTCTCTCTCTCTCTCTCTCTCTTTATCTATCTATCTTTTATCTGTATATATATATATATCTCTCTCTACTTTCTCTCTCTCTTTCTCTTTCTCATTAATTTTGGTTGCTACAATCATCACATACTTACATTATATTCACACATTAACAATTAAAATCCCAATGCATTAACATACACGCATACATTAACATACACGCCCACCTACATTAACATACACGCATACATTACATTAACATACGCACTTTCACATTTACATAAAAATTACACAAAAAGTTACACAAATTCTTTACATAATAATTTACATACTCGCAGGCGAATTATAAAGACACCAAACGGTGGTCTGGATGAATTCTTTGTCTGCTACCACCATTCTGCCCAGCAAAGCGTCGTTGACATGGCTTTTAAACTCGTACAGGGGTCTCTCAATACGTAACAATAATATAATTATTTAATATAATAATTATAATAATAATAATTATTATTATTATATTATTATTTTTATGAGGTTGGCCATGTTAGTGGTGGCATGTTCAGTTTTCTTCCTTATAACAAAATTCTTAACGTCAGTTGTTAATAACTGACTCAAGACGTTTTATTATTATTGTTATTGTTATTATTTTTTTTTTCTTCTTAAATACAATTTCTCCAAAACTAGATAAAGAATTTATGGGAATTTTTGTCCACCCCCCGTCTGTTTAATACATAATATAGTGGAGTATGTGAGCCACTGTAAGATTCCAAAAATAAACACGCTTGCGTGAGTGTCTGCGTGCGTGAGTGTGTCTGCGTGTGTGTGTGTCTGTGTGAGTGTGTGTGTGTGTGTAGGGTGTGCATATAGGGCCGGATTTAAGAGTGGGCAAGGAGGGGGGGGGTACTGATACGGAACCACCAAAAGATAAAGGGCCTTTACGTGAAATGGGGTTTTTTTTAATTCCGAAAATGTAACTGGCCCAGTGTGCGCGCGCGTGTGTGTGTGTTTGCCTGTGTGTGTGTGTGTGTGTGTGTGGTGTGTGTGGTGTTTGTGTG